AATATATTTGGACATGTTTTACTTATTTTTTCCAGGTATCCTTGCATTCTTCTTCTTCTCTAAGAGAATACCCCTTTTTCAAGAAATGGTACCTCCGCTTCACTTCATTTGGGTTCCTGTTCTGGTAAGACTTTGAAATTTGAGCCATCGGATGAAGAATCTTTTAAAGGAAATAAAAACTAAGTCCCATTGATTAAAGTTATTAGCTTCATCTGAAGCAGGTTAACCGTGTTTAACTTAGACATTTAGATGAATTTTATGCATACATATTAAATATCTTTAAACTGCAGCCAGCAACACATTACATTTCATTAGCATCAATATACACTTTTGGACACAGTTTCTTAAAGGAATAGTACACCCAAAACATGATTAGCCTTCATTTTCTACTCACCCCCATGCTGAACAACACTCTGGAGTACTTTTTTGATATCTCAAATGCATCTGGAGATCTGGGAGGCTTCTTGCTGTCTGCTGACATTCAAATAATGGAGGTCTACGGTGCCCGAGGCAGAAAGGTCCATAAAAGTCCACAAAAAACGTGTCAATATTCCTCCATACTGCTCGTCCAATGTATTCCAAGTGTCCTGAGTGGGTAGCATCCAGAATTTACTCGAAACAAAGTCATTTAGAATGTTTTTAGAGCATAAACAGTAGTGTATAGGATTTCCTGAAAGCGCGTTCACGAGTCTACGGAAACTGCGGCAGACCAAACCAGATGAAAGTGCGCATTCAGCTCGGCAAAGAACTCATGCTCTTCTTCAACACTGAAGTCCTCAGACATTTTTCTTTCGTTGTTTCTTTCTTTGCACAGGTAAACAGCACATTTCTTCTTCTACGCTTGCATTATTGGCAGAGCAGACGCTGAATGCGCACTTTCATCTGGTTTGGTCTGCCGGCTTCCGTAGCGTCGTGAATGCGCAGGTGCGCACTTTCAGGAAATCCTATACACTACTGTTTATGCTCTAAAAACATTCTAAATGACTTCATTTCGAGTAAATTCTGGATGCTACCCACTCAGGACACTTGGAATACATTGGACGAGCAGTATGGAGGAATATTGACACGTTTTTTGTGGACTTTTATGGACCTTTCTGTCTCGGGCACCATAGACCTCCATTATTTGAATGTCAGCAGACAGCAAGAAGCCTCCCAGATCTCCAGATGCATTTGAGATATCAAAAAAGTACTCCAGAGTGTTGTTCAGCATGGGGGTGAGTAGAATATGAAGGCTAATCATGTTTTGGGTGTACAATTCCTTTAAGGGAGACAAATGTTACGTCCCAACAAAAGTTTCGTCCAGACAGCATTAAATCAAAGCCTCATGGTTGAGTTAGGTGCTTAATGGTTCTGATAAAAGACACCCATAACTTTATATAACATTATGTTACATTATTTGCTGTCATTGGATGTCTAAACTTATAAATGGCTCATTTCACTCAGAGACAGTTTCTGATAAACTGTTTATGTTTCTGAATATCTGAATACTGGGACCCTACTATAATGTTTGAGTAGATGAAATTCTGTATTTGATAAAAAAAAAAAATCTTACATAAAATGCCAAAATAAAAGCATTTCATTCTTTCAGACGGTGATAATTGGATCGTTCATGATCACAAGTGGCTTTTTTAACGTCTACGCCATGTGTGTGGACACGCTGTTCCTTTGCTTTTGTAAGTCTGCAGTATTTTTCTAAACATATCATTTCTAACATACACTCACCTGTGTGTTCTTTTTTTAAACTGTCTCTAAATTAATCTAAAAGGCATTCTGGATCATTCCACCTTTTCATATATGCCTTGCCTATTTTTGTCCATTAAGCCTTTCCTTTCTTTTCTCCTTATGGCTGTCTCCTTTGCGGTACTCGGCTGTCTCTGCTGTTTTCCTTCTATGCCGGCATGTGGTCTCAGGTGAAGACCTGGAGAGGAATGATGGCTCTTCTTCCAGGCCCTACTACATATCTCCAGGTCTGCACAAGATCCTCCGCAAAGGAGAGGAGCGTGCCAAATCAAGTGCTTCCTCCTGAGCGACGTGCAACTGTGTTCCTGAACTATTGATTTTGACTCATGTCTCCATCTGCTCTGTGTGCGGAGGGTTTGCAAGTTCTCGAGGGCTAAACATCTAAACTGGATGCACGGATGATTCAAACATGAAAGGACATGTTTAAGGATTCAGGTTCCAAAGCATAGTGGATGAAAAAAAGACAAAAAAACAACACTTGACTTTGCTTCCTCTCATGAGCCAGTTCAGATACCTGCCTTTTTTCTCTGCTATGCTTTTCTTCGTGTTCCTCTGTATTTTCAGCTGACCTCTGCCTTACTATGAGGGTACACATAATACACAGGATGGATGCACAAGCTGAGACTCATAGCTTTTTTCTGTTTGTTTGTTATTTAACCCAAACACACATGGGGACCCTAAATTGTACAGATGCCACAGGTGGACTACAGTGTAAAGCATCACACTATAAAGTGTTGGACTTCTGGGCACTTTCTTCTTGCACTTTGCTCTTTTCTTGTAAAATCATCTGTTTTACTCACCTACAGTGATGGAATCATGTGTTTTATTTCCTGCCTGCAGCATGATTATTTTGCTGTTGTTTTCCATGTTTTCGGTGGTTTTCATCTATCATAATCCTAACATGGATCCCAAAGTTATTTTAACGCTACACGAGCTAAACTGTTGCATATTTTCAGTTTGCTTTACAGATTTCTCCTTTTTATTTAACTCTCCCTTGTATGTACTGTAACACAGAGGCTTTGTGGGAGGTTAAGACTGTAAAATGTGATTTTTATGGTTATTGCTTAAAACATGAACAGAACCTGAGACATTTCAGGAAATATGAATGCAGCCGCTAGTTTATGTGCCTAGTTGTCAAAAAAAAGGAATCAAAATGCTCCTCCTTCTGTGATTTTAGACCTACAACTTGGAGTTTTTTGGGATAACGTTTTTAAAAGGATTTTAAAGCCATCTTTGGTATTCTTTTTATTATTATTATTATTGGATGGTTCAGATGTTGTGCTGTTTATTACTCAGTATAATACACACCTCTGTCTGGAAATTGATCTGTGTTGTTTTTGTACAGGATTTTTTTTTTTTCCTAAACTTGATGAATCCAATGAAAATGTGATCATTTGTTTTTGAATAAACATAAATGGATGAAGCATCTCCCAATGCACTTGAAGAGGTTTTAAATTAATAGCGTTGCTATTAATTATCACAATTGTATTTAATATTAGTATTGTTTTCCCATAGTGCTGGATCTGGAGATCAACAACGGCTCCCCAAGCAAGCCCTACCACATGAACCCAAAGCTGATGAAGATCTTAATAAGAGCAAGAGAGAGAAACGACACAAGTGCTGTAACAATAACACCAACGCATGTCTGAAGATGATGAGGCGGTAAACTGACAAATATGTTTACAGAAGCTCCTTCCAGTTAAAATGTTATTTAATTCAGACTTTTTACAAATGTTTAAATCATATATTTATGTTTAAAGTAGATACCTTTTCTTTTTTCTGCTATTGAATCATTTTGAATGATATTTATAGTTGCAGTCATTTGACACAGAATGTTGCTTTCTGAGCAGCAGATATCTTTATTAGCACTGCAGTTACCTCAGGTTTTGTTCAAGTTAAATCTTTTGTAGTTGCCTGTTTTTGCCATTTGAGGGAGCCATTTATTTTAACATAACATTACTGCATGTTCTACTGGTGAATGCACTGAATTTATTGGTTAAAAGTTAAGAAAATGTTTACAGTATTCACCAAAGAACTGATGAGTTTTATCTTTGGTTTGATTGTTTTATAACTTTAATTGTTTACATTTTAGATGGTTGTTTAGATGATTTAATTGAAATAATCTGCTACTTTTATAAATATGAAGGGTTGTTTGTTTTGTTTTTAGGTTAAATAGGGTAATATTTTTTCATCAGTGTTTATAATATTTTTATTTTATTGCTTTCTTGGTGCTGATTTGTAGGTGTGTACTGTATATGTATGGGCTAGGGAAATAAGTGTTTTTTTATTGCAGCATATAGAAGATGTTTTAAAAGTTTAAAGTTTGCACAGAGGCTTGTTTTATAGGTCAGATAGTGGAGGCTTTTCTCAGTTAAACTGACATCCTTACCAGACTTTGATCTATCTAATAGATTTTATGGAAATATATAAAATAAATGAGCATCTTAGCTGTTTAACAATGCTTTATTCTGCCTTTTTTTCTACTTTTAAACCCTAAGTGTATTAATGTGTACATATGTTATTATTGTGGAGTGTTTTTTTAATATATCAATACATATTTAATCTATTCTCTCTCATTATATAACCTCAACCAAGTATTTTTCTACCACTCATCTGTCAGAGCTGAGAGCCTGCCCTCATGGTACCTCAGAGTGACAGCGCTGGCAGACTTTAAACACCCACTTGTGCTGAACATGTCGGGACATGAAGCCATTCAGTAAAAGCAAGACAGCAGTTCATGTGGATGAGGAATCGGTCAAACGAAGCATGCAGTGTTTCAACGGGGCATGGAGCACATGGCATGTTGTCATTTCTGTGTTGTGCTGAGTAGAGGCTACACTCCCAGTTAAATCGCACATATCTCTTTGTTGTGCATGAAGCTGAGGTCCCATGGAGGGAGAATAGTTCAGATCTGATAAGTGTAGTGAAACGTTGTTTTTATATGCCCTCCGCTCCCTCCCATGTCTGAAAATAAGATTCTTTTGGTCAACCACAGTCAACAAGTAGACACAAGTTAATCCTCCCTTCTTGTAAAATGTGACTCAAGTTTTATTTCAAAACCCCTGAAAAGTAAAACTGCGATGATGCTGAGCTGCAGATTATTTAATGTGAAGAGTTTGCTTTTATTAATGTGCTCATTTCTAAAGCTGCATATTCAAACTGCTCCTTCAGGATTCACAATAGAATTTTTTTTTGTGCAATAACTGCCGCTGAGCTGTGATGTAAAGCCAGTTTGCAGGTTTTCAATCATTTCCACAGGCTTTGTGAAATTAGTTCTTTATTCTTAAAACAGACTTCACATACAATAAATTAAATTGCAACATTTATGTAAAACAAATTCTGGGTCACCTTCATATGAAGTTTAGAGCCTATTGGCTTTCACATGGAATAGCACAGTCAAACATTGTCACCAACCACATAAACAAATATACTGCCATGTGTCACAGCGCTGAGGTACACCGAAACGTTTGCATTTCCACATTATACAGTACACAGAGGACTGTAAGTTATGGTCTTCGGTTGTTTTTTCTCTTTTAAAGTATAAACATGTAAAGATTGTGGAGTTTAACAAATAAAATGGTGTTATGATGTGATGAAGATTTACCATGGGCACCGGAATACTGCAGCTGGTTATGGAGGAGAAACGCTGGCGAGGTGAGCAGCTCAGGCGTGAGACACAGGCAAGGAGGTCATGGTGTGAGCAGGCAGCAGCGGCTGAAACATGGAGGGAGGAGTGTGGACTGCAATCACATGGAGGGAACAAAGTCAGAATCAGCATGAAGATGCAAATTTATTTAAGAAACAATATTAAAAAGACCAGAATTGTGATCATTTACAGTGTGAGCATGTTTTGATATAAAGCTCTATGGTAACAGCATCTATCTCAATAAAACGAAAGAGTATCATCAGCAATTTGTTTAATATATTTTTGTGATTTAATTAGGTAAAAAAATAGGATTGTATTTGTTCTCCGACCTTTAAAAATTCGGGTTTTAATACAGAAAGGATTGGTTATGGCCTCGGCAATCATAGAGACGGCTGCTGAATGCCCAGCAGACGTTCATTAATACCTTTCAAATGGATGGCAAGCCAGAAAAGTCATTTTTAAAGCAGCTAGTTGCACATAAAGGGTTGAATTCTTTTTATACAGAGTAAACTGAAAAAAAGTGTGGTAAAAAAAAAGTTATAGCCACAGCATTAAGAGTAGAGTAAAGCCAAGCCATTTCTGTATCCCCCTCCACATTTGGATTGCTCTCCAGGTAGAGATTCACAAGGAGCTAAAAACAAAAATGGAACGAGATGTTGTGCAGGGATCCAGAGTCTGCTTCTTGACCAAAGCTTTACATTTCATTTAGAACAGAAAGCCGGAGAACATAAGCTGCCTTGTGGAACCAAGTCATCTCCTTGTGTTGGTCCACTATGTTTTATTAAGTTAAATGCAACGAACCCAGACTTTTAGAGGGGGTGATGGTTCCCTATATTGACAAGCTTTAATATCAATATAGTCACTGTGCATGAAAACACATAGAATATTGTCTGAAGAAAGAGGACCAACACCCAATCACACAATGCAGATGAGCTGAAGGCACCTAATACGGCAACAGGGACTTCCTGATCACCTCTATGTCATTGATGCAGGATATGCCTTTGAACAAGTTGTAAAATCCTCCCAACTTGCATTCTCCCTTTTTTTTTCCCTCAGGGGAACATTTTAAGCATACTACTTTTCTGGTTTAAGATTTTTTTCTAATGCAGATAATCAGGCAGGAGTAGAATCTTACAGGGCAGATAAGAGAAGATTTAGGCAAGGAATATGGCAAAACACTATTAGTCTTATTTTATGAACTCGTACTACAATTAATTTAACATATTCCTACTTTTTATATTTAAAATATAAGTCTATATTTGGGTATTAGAGACAACCAGTAAGTTGTAACTAAAATATTACAACTAAACTATTTGCTAGTGATGACATAAATGTCTAAAAATGCCCCAAAAAATAATTTTTAAATAATAAAATCTGCTTATTGCTGTTTTGTATTTGTTCTTGTGGTTGATATAAAGCCTTGTACTCACTGTCAATAAAAGAATGTAGTGCTGAGAGCATTGACCCTTCTGGGCCTCCATAGGCTGTGTACTGCAGCTCCTCAGGGGTCGGAGTGGGCTGGGACAGACGGCCAGGCTGCAGGGAGGTCATGGGTGTGCTGGAGGTGTGGTTGGGGCTCACATGTTTTTTGTGGCGAGCTCGACAGTTCTGGAACCAGACCTGCGATAAAAATCACATTGATAACAAAAATAACTGCATTTTAACCAGACGACAAGATGAACCAATATTGTTCTTAAGTTACAAAGACATGCGTTGCAACCATGTCATTATGAAGGAATGATATATCTAACCAACAAGGATATCTTTGTTTAAAATTTCACTTTAAAATCCTTTTTTTATCTTTAAGGCAGCTGCTTTATCACATATAGGGAAATCTGCAATATGCTTTGTTTATTATGTGCATAGGGATTTAAATTCTCATTTGGTATAAAACTGGACATTATCCCGTAGAACATAAGAGACATAAAATGAACAAAGCTCAAACACCAAACATCTCTACCAGCAGACGTCACGCGATCATACAATGTATTCCATCATGTGTTTTGTCTTTGTGCACCCACCTGTATGACTCTTCGACTGAGGCCAGTCTGCTCGGCCAGCTTCTGCAGAGTCTGAGCATCAGGGTTGTTGTCCTGAGCAAACTGAGCCTGCATCACCTGCATGTAAACAAGAAGAGCAAACCACATCATGTGTGGTCCACAAAGCTATGCTGCTGTCTATCAAAAGGCCTTTAACTGATTCCTACTGTCTCTCATATACACTGCAAAAATATATATAAATATTTAGACATTTAAATTAGGTATTATGGTTATTCTAAAATTAATAGGGCAATGGTGAAATTTAAATTTTTTTAATATGAGGTAATTTGTTGATTCATCATTATTAATTCAGCTAAATAATAAACTAGAACTTGTGTTGAATTGGTGAAATATATATACATAAATAAAATTATATATATAATTTTATTTATATCTGACTTATATTTTTATTATAGTGTTTTCTTGAACCGGAGATATGACTGCCATACTACTGATAATTTAATTACTTTAATAGCCCACCTAATGCTTCTTTACAGTCTTTACAAATGGACAAATTCATATTTCAGGTTTTCTTCAAGCTCTTCCCTGCTAATTTCGTTTATTTTTTTTAACAATTACTATTTTAAAAAAAAGTTAGTTTAAATATGTAGTTGTTTTGAATGCAAAACAAAGAAAGAAAAAAAATCTCGTTAACAACAGTGGGAAATCTTTGTTTTGATTTATTGTGATGAATAAAGAGAACAGAGAGCATCTGATCTATGCTGATTAACAGAACAAAGGTTGATTCCGACGCCTTGCCGATATTTCGGAGATTCTCTAATATGAATAATCTATTTTGTTAATATAAGGCCTTATTTATGAAATCAATATGTAGTATATGGAGCCAAAACAAATCTAATTACATCGCTGCATTAAGATGATAATCAACTTCTATATTAACGTATAATAATAACAACAATAATAATAATTGAACTTTATTAATCTCACATTGGAGAAATGTATCTCTGCATTTAACCCATCCCATTGGGGAGTATGCTGAAGATGTTATTATTTTTTAAGGGATTAAAATAAAAATTCTCAAAAGAAACCAAACTACTGGTATTTTCCGAATGAAATTATCCAGAAAATAAACTGCTTAAAAATGAAATCCTTGTAATTTTCTTTTTTAATTGCACGAACCTGCAGCTGATCGGCCGTGAAGCTGGTCCGAGCTCTCTTAGAGGGTTTAGGTTGATTGACTTCTTGTTCTGTGGGGACGGCTCCCTCCATATTAACACTGTTTCCTGCAGCAGAATAATCTAATCAAGACAAACTAAAAACATGAGACGCTCCACTATTGAAAAATAGTGCAATATTACTACACTAAAAAAAATTGGTGATGCAATTTGCGCACCGCTGCGGCCCGCTCACCTTTCTCCACGGCCCGCTTGAGATTGTCCAGCATGCAGTCGTAATGGACCCTGCAGAGCACTTTGCCCTCCACCAGCGCGAACTCCTCCCCTGTGGAGAGCTGCCTCTTGCAGGAGAAGCAGGCGAAGCAGGCCAGGTGGTAGACGTTGCCCTTGGCCCTGCGGACCCAGTCTGTGGAGTGGATGTTCCTGCCGCAGCAGGCGCACCAGGTGCCATATCGTCTGTAGGGGAGGCCAGTCGGTGGCTTCATTACGCAACTATTTTACTCCAGTTTTTTAAGACAATTCTTTGATCTTTTAGATTATTTTAGCAAAAATAATACGAGGTAATAATAAGACAAATCCTGGATCCTGGATAGGTTTGGTTATTATTTGATATATTTGATTAACAGTTAAATTCTTTACCCAATTCTAAAAAAAGAAATAGAGATCAAAACAAATCATCCCTTTATTTATAATAATAATAATGATTATTATTATTATAACACCTGAAGGAAGACTGCAAATTATGTAGTATGCAAGAATGCTCTATATTCTTCGTATTTTCTGCAATTATTTTAAATTCTATCTGAAATGTGAAATCGGTTACATTTGCAATAGTGTGAGAGCGCATACCTGAAGTAATCCAGTTTGCAGAAAACTTCCTTTTCCTTGATATAGCAGCTCGCGTGGCTACCAAGCGAGGTCTGGCACACGCTGCAGGAGAGACAGCGCACATGCCAGCACAAGTCGTTAACCTAAAGCAAAGATACGATGAGTAAGGAGAACACACAGTCTGAATGTTTGAAAAGATTCCAGAAAGAGAAAAAGCAAAGTCATCAAAAACGAAGAAGAGTCTCCAAAACAAAAAAATAATAATTATAAAATAAAATAAAAAGTTGAGTACCTTTAATAAATATTTATCCACTATTTCCTCGTTGCAGTTGGCGCACACGCTCCTGCCCAGCAGTGGCGCAGAGTTCATCGCCTGCGGGGAAGAAGTGTCCTCATCCAAAACCTCCACCGGCGCGCCCTGACGGAGATCACCAGACCACCGGTTAGAAAGTTACGCACAGGAACGCGTCCAACTCCAAGCTGGAGGCAGCAGCCCGAGCAGCGCGCACGAGCTCCTGTCAACTTAGCATTTAATGGAAAAACTTTTTAACAAATAAGGGGAAAAAATTGCTTGAAGCTACAACTTTAATCAAGGTGAACCTTTTTGCATTATCCAGCATACCATGATGTCCCTCCTGTCCTCGGCGCACTTCCCCGGCAGCTCTTCTCCCTTGCAGTCCTCACACATGACGCTCAGCTGCGCAACAAGAAGAGGATGTCGGCGCGTCCGCCTTAAATGCCCCCCGCACCTTCCCATAAATATCATGCCTTTCACCTTTCACCATGACAACGCGCGGCGATTATAGAAAAACCACAATGACATTTAGGAGAAAAAGATAGCCATTACTTACAAAAACAGACAACACTTGAGCCGACACTTATCGCCTGTGCATTTATGTTGTTCAGAGTCTAAATTTGTAATCCGGCAATAAAAGTGGAATAAAAAAAAGAGAAGGAGCTGCAGGTTAAACCAACCAACACACCCGTTTCACGCGTCAATCAGAAAACCAGCGCGAAGTCTGCAGGAAAAAAGGGAGGACTGATTTATTTAATAACAGCAATTAAAAGGAGCTTAAGTTCGCTACAAACGTCTACCCGCAGCAACCAAAAGGTGAAGAGGTCTCATTCACTACTTGAGTTTTAATTGCAGAATTCAAGGGAGGGGTAATTTCCTTTGACATTTCTTCAAATTGTGAAAATACCGAGCTGTCAGCTGTAGTAGAACGCCTGGCTGTATAATGACACACCGAGGCCCACTCTGGATTAATTGGGCAAAGCAATTTCCACTCATATTTAGTGAGTGACCCCCATCTCCCAGAAAGAACTGAAAAGGTCAGCTGCGCTCTCACCTCGCTGTTGGACAGTGGAGATCCGCTCTCACTGCCGCTCCCTGCGCAGCTTTCCGCTTTAGATTCACTTTTCCAGCGCATGTTTGGGTCCCGCACAGGAAAAAAATGCAATTTCCAAAGTTAGAAGCGCCCTCTTCTTTCTGCAGTTCTCCTACTGGTCTCCCGTGTGTTTTCGGGCTGTCATTCAGTCTCCTCCGAGCAGCTTCTGGAGGGCGGAACATAATTCATATTTTCTCCTAGCCGCGCCTCCATTTTTTTAAGTAAGCTTCTTGGGTGGTGTGATGATGGATTGATGGATTAAAGGGTTAAAGAACTGCTCCAAAATGTAAAGATAGCCCAGATCTTTTCTGCTTCAACAACTTTTCTTCCAGACTCACTTCATCTTCTATCAACCCATGAGTTAAGTTTCTGCTCTGCCTGAGAGAAGCATCCACACAGCATCATCCTGCCACCACTATGTTTTATGATATGTTAAATTTCTGCTTTGTTCTGATCAAGCAGAGGACCTTATTCCACGTTTGCTGTGGGATTGGTGGTTTTCTCACTGCTCAGATTCATAAAGTGCACCAACCACAGATGTTCTATCAACTTATTTTTCTGGCTGAGTTGAGAATTTCTGGATCTCCATCAAAAGTTAGAGTGGGCCTCATTGGCTGATTTATCAGATGTATCAGATCCTTGTGAGTCAGTTTACGCAGCAGTCATGCCTTACTGCTGTGGGTTTTTACCCCTCCATTTTAGATCCCAGTAACGCTCACTCTTGGTTTTGTATTCTTATCACCAAACATTACTTGAAAATAATCATTAGTTTATCCATCAACTATCTGCTGTTTACCTGGTGTTCTTGATGCTCATTGTTCTCACCAACCTGGAAAAATATCTATTTAGGCAGTTTTCCCTGAATATGTGATAACAAATGTGAGGATCAGATAAAAAAGACTTTACTTAGAATATACAAATAAAGAGGGTTTTTTCCACAAACTTCGATTTTTTTATTAAATTCAATTGTAAAAATTTAAAATGCGTGTATTGCTTTATTTTGTAAGTTATCTAATAAAATATATAAAAGGATTTAATACAATCTGGAAGGTACTGTGCATAAAAAAACTGCCGCCTCACCAAATATGTTGAAATAAGCAAGCAGTTCTGATGGAGAATGTTAATGTTTCTGAAGTAGTTTTCCATTTTTGTCCCAGGATTGTATTGCAGCTTTATACTTTTCTGGGTTTATTTTCACAGTAATCTTCTATGAAAACACATACTTTTCTAGAAGCTGAGATTTTGCAGATTAAATGACTTGCAGCAATATAAATTGCCTAAGATTTCTTTTTTTAATATGACATTTTTTTAATGGTCTTAATTCATCATAATATACTTAAGTCAGCCAAGTAATGTGAAGCTTTTCAGACAACAGACTTTTTTATTTCCATGTCTGCACCGATTTGTAACATATAATACAACACTACTAAAGAGTAGTTTGGCTGCCAGTTTCTGTTAGCACCACTGCTATAACTGATGTAATTTTAACAGTACTTGTTCTTTTTAAAACCTACATTTGGGAAAATAAAAAAAAATGTGAATTACCTTTATATTTCATGTAGGTGCATGTTAGTGAAAAAATCTCACAGTTAAATCTGAATTATATTTCAGACAGAAAAAAATTTAATTTTTCGTTAAAAAAAACTGTAAAAAAAGGTTTCCTATTCACTTTTATGCAACAACTGCAACATAAATAGTGCAAGATAATTTGTGTTTTCCCTTCTAGTTAATCTCAAACTGGGATTAAAAAGTGAAATCTGGAACATCTAAGTCTGGATAAAGGATGATTTGGAGTTGTTAAATGGGCGACATTAATTATTCATATTTTGGTATGGCTGATTTCTAGTAAAACTTGGCTTTAGCGTGTTAAGGCCATTCCGTTGGGTACTACTGCCTTTCACATGCTTTTCTCTGTGTATTTAGCTCTACACGTCTTCATTGCCTTATTCCCCCAACCATGTTTCACTGTGGGGATGATGTTTCAGGGTGGTATGTAGTGTTATTTAGTCTCCAAATGTAGCTTTTTGTTTTAGATAAAATAAAATGTTTTGTGTCTTCTGACCAGAAAGCGAAAGCAGTCCGGAAGTTTGCAGTTTCTTCATGTCAAACTGCAAATTTCTACTAATACTTTTTAAGTTGATATATAAGTTGTGGATATCTGAAGCTTCTCCAAAGTTACCAGGAGTGGGCAATCAATCCCTGGCTTCTTCTCTTATACTGATCTGATATTAATTTCAGAGAACTATGGTTAGATTTGAACATTTTATTTCTAAAAAAATATTGTAATACTTTCTTTCACAGTACATCAATAATCATTTTGGGTTAATTACCAAATTAAGTTTTTTTTTGTTACCTATGTGAAAGAAAGCATTACTAAAATATTTATTTTTCCTCCACTTGGCAGTTATTTGGGAATCTTGTGTTGGTTTACCACAAAAAATTGCATCAACATACAATGGCGTTGTGGCTGTAAAGTGACATTTACAAAACCATTGTTTCTCTTGAAATTATTCAAAATAAGAGCAGAAATATGGCAATATTTAAAAAAAAATCTGTATATTTTTGAATGAAAAATAAAGGCAACTGATTAATGTGTATTTCTACTCATCAATAACATAAGCATAACAAGTCATAGCATGAAAAAAATATATAAAATAAGAAAAGAAAGATTTCCAACAAGAGCTTATTTAAGGTGATCTAACCTCTCATTATCACCCCAGGCTGTAATCAATGGTTAAAACCTGATCACCATCATTAAACACAAAACACCTTGAGCTAATAGTTACCTCATGGCGTTAGTTTGCATTTAGATGCTCAAACTTTTGAGAAATAAAAGAAATGTGTGTCCCTGTTGGAAGTTAAATACAGAATATGGAAACATATAACTATATCCTTTTTTTTTTAAAAGCTGGAGTGTTTTGCAATTAGCTGTTATTCTCAATACAGCCTGATCACCTGATTTATAGGTGTTTATAGAATTTATAGGTTCATATCAGGATTAATTGTTAAGTTTAATTCTTGTATTTACTTACCTATCTCCTTTCAGACCCTTGGCTTTTTGATTATTACATCCAGACAAATATTTCCACTACAGCCCTCAGCTAAACTCAGCCAGTCAGAGCTTAAGTTTTTTTTCTATCCACGGCTGTTCTGTTAAGGCTGAATTACAGTCGGACCTGCAGCAGCATGAGCCCACAGTTGTATCGCACCATCACACTGGGATAAAGGAGTTAGCGTGCCTCCATCGAAATGTGTCCTGTTCCACCCGGTGGAGATGAATGCTCTTTATCTGATAACATCGCTCAAACACCGCTCACTGCTGAAAACTTCCAACCACTGAATCCATCACATTAGGAAAGAAAAGCTTGGAAAAGTTTGACCAGCAGCAGCTCCAGTCTGCAGCTCTGAGATGAAACACATAGGTGAAAGTCCCACAGTAAAATACTCTCAAACATTTATCTCAGATAGGAGTTAAAGTCTTTCTTACATCAGTGCACCATCTACCTGAGCTGATATGAGCGTAAATGGGAAAAGATAGGAATGCCGCTTTGTAACAGTTTGGTGTTTTCATTTTTGAGTGCTGCATGGCTGACATTTCAGATGCTTTGCATGATGTGGATCAGACAAAAACAACATCTTATCCATCAGCATAAGGAAAAACTTGTTTTACTGCCTAACCCTTTTACAACTAACGGTGTGAGGATGTGGTGCATACAGGTCAGACTATTAATGCTCTGTAACTGTTTTTTTTATTTGTTTTATTTTGTTGGTTATTTTTGAGGCAAAAAAATAAGCCACTTATTTATCAAGGATCACTTATAAATGTATTTGGTTGGACTTTAAGATTGTTAGGAAATATTTGCCAGTGACATGGCTTCCTGCTTTGTAACTCGGCTCAAAGCAACATAATAGTAATTAAATCACCTCAAAGATAATTAAAGGTGTGTGTAACGCATGTTATCCAAGTCGTGGGCAGGGAGGATCTCAGCAGTCAGTGTTACAGTCAATTTGAAGAACCCGCAAACAAAGTCTTTTTCTGATTTGCTGTAATACTGACTATTCCCTAACCAGAAGTACACTACATTACCAAAGGTATTTGCTCACACATCAAAATTATTGGAATCAGGTTTTTCATTCACTTCCATGGCCACATGTGAATAAAATCAAACACCTTGGCACGCAGACTGTTTTAAAACAGATTATATTCAAACTTAAATAAAACCAAATTTAGAATTTTTGGAAATTTTGCCATTAATGGGGACAAAACACTTGATGATAAACGGAACTGATAGAACATGTGAATGAATTAAAATGTCTTGGAATAAATGTATAAAGGAAAGTTAGCTGGAAACTATAATAAATCAAAGATATTTAAATCTCTTGCAATAATTTCTAAAGCAAAAATGTTCCTAAAAAAAAAAATATATATATATATATATATATATCTTCTGTATTGCTCCTATTCTTGCTTACATGATGTGTTCTGTAGGAGTAGGGAAACACCTATCAAACTAATCTGTATCCAATTAGTATGATTTAAAAAAGAGCAATTAGACTCTGGTAACGTGACCTACAGAGAAAATAAAAATCTGCTTTGCATTAATATAAAAGATTTAAGATGTAATCATTTGATTTAAAACAGAACAATGTATGTATTACATAAAGAATAATAAGTTGCTGGGAATCCACAGACAGATCAGCGTTGCTGCCGCCATAATACAGACGCCGCAGTTATCCATCGTGGTGAAGAGAGAGCTGAGAAAAAGGGCAAAGCTCTCAATTTGCCGGTCGGTCTACGTTCCTGCCCTCACCTATGGTCATGAAATCTGGATCATGATCAAAAGAATGAGATCTGCAGGGGAAGTTCAGACTATTAATGCTCTAAATGCTGCTTTTGAGATGCTTTGTATCTGAAAAGAATGAGATACAAGCGGATGA